GGACCCTGTCTCTAAAAAAGAGAAAAAGAAGATTTATTGTTGCCTTTTCCTTTTTATTTTATTTTGTTTGTTTGTTTGAAATAGGGTCTGTCACCCAGCCTGGAGTGCAGTGGCGAAATCTTGGCTCAGTGTAACCTCTATCTCCCAGGTTCAGGCAATTCTCTTGCCTCAGCCTACCGAGTAGCTGATATTACAGGTACACGCCACCATGCCTGACTAATTTTTGTATTTTTAGTAGAGACCGGGTTTCACCATGTTGCCCAGGCTGGTCTCAAACTCCTGACCTCAAGTGATCTGCCTGCCTTGGCCTCCCAAAGTGCCGGGATTACAGGCGTGAGCCATCATGCAAGTCTGGGAGGTGGTTTATCATGTAAATGTCACAGAACAAAAGCATACCCAAGTGGGTCACACTGCTCTCTAGGATTTGGCCCTCCGCTTTCAAGATCCAAAAGGTTAAACTGTGAATTCTGCCAGAAGGGATCAGGCTTTAGAGATTGTACAGCAGACTCTTTCTATTGTGTCTCTAGCACCATCTACTGGGAAACAAAAGTGCCTTTATTAGAATACCTTCAGTTGAAAGTGTCTGCAACCTAACTCAGGTAGCAGAGGAAGGAGAAAAAGGGAGGAAGAAGCTGAGAGCAGATTCTATCTAACAAAAGGAGGATTAAATGCTTGTATAGGTTGGGTGTGGTGGCTCACGCCTGTAATCCCAGCACTTTGGGAGGCCAAGGTGGGTGGATCACCTGAGGTCAGGAGTGTGAGACCAGCCTGACCAACATGGTGAAACCCCATTCTACCAAAAATACAAAATTAGCCAGGTGTGGTGGCACATGCCTGTAATCCCAGCTACTTGGGAGGCCAAGGCAGGAGAACTGCTTGAACCTAGGAGACAGAGGTTGCAGTGAGCCGAGATCGAGCCACTGCACTCCAACCTGGGCAGCAGAGTCAGACTCTGTCTCAAAAAAAAAAAAAAAAGAAATTCTAAATAGACAAATTATCATGGAGAAAAACGTGAGTGTATATTGAACTGTCCAATGAAATACTTAGGAATAAATTTGGAAATAAACTCTAAGATACATTGAGTGAAAAGATCAAGGTGGAGACAGGCTGCCGGGTTTGTATGTGTTTGTGAGTGTACACTTAGATGCTTGGTATCTTTGTAATACCTTTGGAATTGTGCATGGAATACCAGTAACAACCCAGGCATGGAGGCAAACACGTGTCGCAGCTACTCCACAGGTTGGGGCAGGAGGCTCGCTTGAGCCCAGGAGTTCCAGTTCCATGAGCTATGATCATCCACTGCACTCCAGCCTGGGCAACAGAGTGAGACCATCTCTAAAAAATAAATATGTAAATAAAAATGTTTTTAAAAGAGAGAAGCCAGTAACGATGGGTGCTTCTGTTGTAAGAAACTGGATATGTGGGGAACAAAGATAAGAGAAGTTCTTTGATTATATGATATTTTTTACCTTTTACATTTGTTGCCATTAAATTGGTTGCATGTGGAGCTGGACCCAGTGGCTCACACCTTTAATCCCAGCATTTTGGAAGGCTGAGACAGGTGGATCACTTGAGGTCTGGAGTTCGAGACCAGCCTGGCAAAAATGGTGAAACCCAGTCTCTACTAAAAATACAAAAAACAAACAAACAAACAAAAAAAGAAAAACAAACCAGGCATGGTGGCGGGCACCTGTAATCCCAGCTGCTCCAGAGGCTGAGGCAGGAGAATTGCTTGAACCTGGGAGATGGAGGTTTCAGTGAGCCCAGATCACACCACTGCACTCCAGTCTGGACAACAGAGCAAGACTCTGTCTCAAAAAACTTAAAAAGTTTAAAAAAAAATTGGTTGCATGTGCAAATATTCCCTATTTAAAAATTTGGCACAGTGACTCACGCCTGTAATCCCAGCACTTTTGGAGGCTGATGTGGGCCTGTCACTTGAGGTCAGAAGTTTAGATAAGCCTGGCCAACATGGTAAAACCCCATTTCTGCTAAAAATACAACAATTAGCTTGGCATGAAGGTGTGCACCTGTAATCCCAGCTACTTGGGAGGCTGAGACGGTAGAATCACTTGAACCTGGGAGGCGGAGATTACAGTGAGCCAAGATTGCATCACTGCACTCCATCTTGGGCGGCAGAGTGAAACTCTGTCTCAAAAAACAAAAAAGAGCAAAGATTCCTATGTGTGCTTTCCAGATTCTCTCGGTTGAACAGTGGACACCAGGATGGTATCGCCTGGACCTTAGTGCCTCACTTGAGTGCTTTATGCCCAGGCACCCTGAGCTGTATGTGAACTCAGAACCCCAGTCTGCAGACACTAGGTTAAGGCAGGTCAAGGCTGCAGTGAGCCGTGATCATGCCAGACTTGATTTCTACACAGCAGTTCTGAGTTTAAGAAAAGAAATGGGGTCTGGGTATGGTGGCTGATGCCTGTAATAACAGCACTTTGGGAGGCCGAGGCTTGTGAATCACAAGGTCAGGAGTTTGAGACCAGCCTGGCCAACGTGGTGAAACCCCATCTCTACTAAAAATACAAAGATTAGCCAAGTGTGACAGTGGGCGCCTGCAATCCCTGCTACTCAGGAGGCTGAGACAAGAGCATTGGCTTGAACCTGGGAGGTGGAGGTTGCAGTGAGACGAGATTGCGCCACTGCACTCCAGCATGGGCAACAGAGCGAGACTCCATCTAAAAAAAAAAAAAAAATGAGGCTGGGTGTGGTGGTTCACACCTGTAATCCCAGCACTTTGGGAGGCCAAGGTAGGTGGATCACTTGAGGTCAGGAGTTCAAGATTAGCCTGGCCAACATGGTGAAACCCTGACTCTATTGAAAATACAAAAAAATTAGCTGGAGTCGTGGCTTACGCCTGTAGTCCTAGCTACTTGGGAGGCTGAGGCAGGAGAATTGCTTGAATCCAGGAGGCAGAGGTTGCAGTGAGCTGAGATCGTGCCACTGCACTCCAGCCTGGGCAACAGAGTGAGACTATGTCTCAAAAAAAACCAAAATGTCTTCTTTTACTCAGATTTGTGTGTTCTCTCAGCATTTAGGAACCCACAAAAGCAGAACCAAATGTTTTAAATGACTGGCAGTTGGTTCTTCTTTTACTTTTTAAATTATTTTAATGGTAAGGTATAAGTTCCTGCTTTTTCTTAGCCTCCTAAGATTTCAGCTCTACTTTGCATGCTACTTCTCTCCCCTGATAACAGTAGAAGCCAAGTTCCTAAAATTGCTATCAGACCACATGAAAGGAAAAAATAATTATCACCCTAAAAGAGTATGCTAACCTCCTAATAGTTGCATTTACCTTTAAAATACATGAGACAGCTCTGGGACCATAAGAAAACTTTAGGCCGGCGTGATGGCTCATGCCTGTAATCCCAGCACTTTGGGAGGCCTAGGCAGGTGGATCACCTGAGGTCAGGAGTTTGAGACTAGCATGGCCAACATGGTGAAACCTGTCTCTACTAAAAATGCAAAAATTAGTTGGGCATGGTGGCCTGTGCTTGTAATCCCAACTACTTGGGAGGCTGAGGCAGGGGAATCACTTGAACCCAGGACACAGAGGTTGCAGTGAACTGAGATCGTGCTGTTGTACTCCAGCCTGGGCAACAAAAGCAAAACTCTGTCTCAAAAAAAGAAAAAAGAAAGAAAAAATAAACTTTTTAAAAAAGACTCAACCGTATTATTGCTTAAGGCTCTAAAAAGAGCCTTTTTCTGTTTCCTCCTCAAGAAAAAATGGCCGGAGTGATTTGACCTGCTACAGAGGAACCTGGGATTCTCTGTACTTGGTGCAAGGTTCTAGCACCTGGCTGTTACTTAATCCTGGGTGGGCCTTAATTTTAAGAAGTAGACCTCTGCCATCATCTCATCCTGGGGTTTTCCACCTGAGCGGCTCAGAACCTGTACTTGATTCAGCTAGAACAACTCTGGCTTATATATATATGTTACTATATATTTATGAGTATATATTTTCCATTGTCCCTTGGAATCGATGGGAGATTGGTTCCAGGACACTCTACTGATACTTAAATCAATGGATACTCTAGTTCCTTCTATTTTTTTTTATTTTATTTTTTTATTTTTTATTTATTTATTTTTTTTTTTTGAGACGGAGTTTCACTCATGTTACCCAGGCTGGAGTGCAATGGCACGATCTCGGCTCACCGCAACCTCCGCCTCCTGGGTTCAGGCAATTCTCCTGCCTCAGCTTCCTGAGTAGCTGGGATTACAGGCATGCACCACCATGCCCAGCTAATTTTTTGTATTTTTAATAGAGACGGGGTTTCACCATGTTGACCAGGATGGTCTTGATCTCTTGACCTTGTGATCCACCCGCCTCGGCCTCCCAAAGTGCTGGGATTACAGGCTTGAGCCACCGCGCCCGGCCTATTTTTTTTTTAAAGATGGGGTTTCACCATGATGGCCAGGCTCGTCTTGAACTCCTGACCTTGGGTGATCCACGCACCTCTACCTCCCAAAGTGCTAGGATTACAGGTGTGAGCCACCACGCCCGGCCTACTCTAGTTCCTTCTATAAAATGGTGTGGTATTTGCATATAACCTGAGCCCATATTCCCATATACTCTATTTATTTCTTTGTTTGAGGGTTTTTTGTTTTATTTTCTCTAACCCACCCTCTTTCCCTATTTGTTTGTTTTTTAACAAGACAGAGTCTCATTCTGTCACCCATGCTGGAGTGCAGCGATGCAATCATGGCTGACTGTAGCATTGACATCCTGGGCTCAAGCAATCCTCCTGCCTCAGCCTCCTGAGTAGCTAAGACCACAGGTGCTCATCACTATGCCTGGCCAATTTTATTTATTTATTTTTTTTTGGTAGAGATGGGCTCCCTGCATGTTTCCCAGTATCTGGGCTCCCATCTCCTTAACAAATTCAAATGAAGGCTGAGAAGGTAGAACCAGTGGGTCTTGGGGAGGCTCTGTGTAAATAAATATGAGACTTGGGTGTTTATCACCTTTGTTTTCTGTCTCTTCCCATCAGGAGAAGTGGCCCCAGTGCAAGGAACTGCATTCGACCTGAGAAAGCCAGTGGAGCTTGGAAAACACCTGCAGGACTTCCATCTCAATGGTTTTGACCACAATTTCTGTCTGAAGGGATCTAAAGAAAAGCATTTTTGTGCAAGGTCAGGTATTTTTCACTTCCTGAGTCTGTAAGAAAGAAACCGACACCAACTCCTATTTTCCTTTGGAGCTTTTCCTCTGGCCATATCAATAGCATTTACTATGCTACAGGTAACCCAGTACCACATTCCATATCTTCTCAAAGCTCCTGTGGTACAGGTGAGCTCTGTAGAATTCATCCTCCTCCTCCTACCTCCCATTACCCATATTCCTCCACCCTCAGTGCCTCCTCTCTCCCTCTCTGCTTGTTCTTTAAGGCCTATTGTTAGAAGCCTTAACTCAGGCCAGGCACAGTGGCTCATGCCTGTAATCCCAGCACTTTGGGAGGCTGAGATGGGTGGATCACCTGAAGTCAGGAGTTCAAGACCAGCCTGGCCAAAGTGGTGAAACCCCATCTCAACTAAAAATACAAAAATTAGCCAGGCTTGGTGGCAGGTGCCTATAATCCCAGCTACCCGGGAGGCTGAGGCAGGAGAATCGCTTGAACCCTGGGGGCGGAGGTTGCATTGAGCTGAGATTGTGCCACTGCACTCCAACCTGGGTGACAGAGCAAAACTCCGAAAAGAATCCCGGGCTGGGCGCAGTGGCTCATGTCTGTAATCCCACACTTTGGGAGGCTGAGGTGGTCAGATCACCTGAGGTCAGTAGTTCAAGACCAGCCTAGCCAACATGATGAAACCCCATTTCTACTAAAAATACAAATAATTAGCCAGGCATGGTGGCAGGCACCTGTAATCCCAGCTAGTTTAGAGGCTGAGACAGGAGAATCACTTGAACCCATGGGGCAGAGGTTGCAGTGAGCCCAGATCGCAGCACTGGACCCCCCCGGGGCAAAAGAGCCAGAGTCTATCTCAAAACAAACAAATAAAAATTAGCTGGATGTGGTGGCGCACACCTGCAGTCCCAGGTACTGGGGAGCTGAGGTGGGAGAGCTGCTTGAGCCCAGGGGGCAGAGGTTGCAATGAGCCGAGATTGAGCCACTGCACTCCAGAACAAGACTCTATAAAAAAAAAAAAAAAAAAAATCTTAGCTCCTCCAGGGCTTTCCTCCTCCAACTTAGCTGCTCCCTTCCTCCCTACTCCCCAGCTGGCAGGCAAGGGTAAGTCTGTTTGGTGATGCCTCAAAGAAGCCAAGATCAGAGTGAGACATTGCTGTTGAGGATCCTTGAAGCCACCTGCTCATGCCTTGCCTTTGAGACTGGAAGAATTTTCCATCCTTTTCTTCCTACCTTCATCTCCTCCTTATATCTTGTCCCTGCTCTGTGGCTGGGTCTGATTTCCTGTCTCAAAGCCACTTCCCAGCTTCTACTCCTCCCCACCTGCTTTTCTGCCTGGACTCATGCGGTTTGTGTTTCTTCCCAGGGTGCGTCATGCTGCAAGCGGGCGGGTACTGGAAGTATACACCACCCAGCCCGGGGTCCAGTTTTACACGGGCAACTTCCTGGATGGCACATTAAAGGGCAAGAGTGGAGCTGTCTATCCCAAGCACTCTGGTTTCTGCCTGGAGACTCAGAACTGGCCTGATGCAGTCAATCAGGTAATGCCACAGGCTAGCTTGTTAGAGTGCAGTTTGTGTCCAAAGTCACACTATACAGCCGAGTTCACTACACTCAAATCAGGTTGTATGATTCAAAAGTTCATGTTTTGTTTGTTTGATTCAAAAAGTTGTTTTGTTTGTTTGTTTTTTGAGACAGTCTCACTCTGTCGCCCAGGCTACAGTGCAGTGACATGATCTCAGCTCATTGCAACCTCCGCCTCCTGGGTCCAAGTGATTCTCCTGCCTCAGCCTCCCAAGTAGCTGGGATTACAGGCACCCACCTCCACGCCTGGCTAATTTTTGTATTTTTAGTAGAGATGAGGTCTTACCATGTTGGTCAGGCTGGTCTCGAGCTCCTGACCTCAAGTGATCCACCTGCCTTGGCCTACCAAATTGCTAGGATTACAGGCGTGAGCCACTGTGCCTGGCTCAAAAGTTCATGCTCATTCCCTTCTCCAAGTCATGATAAACAGAAAACCCATAGTCAAGCTACTGACATGGCATTTACATATTTTTAAGAAAGCTCCAATTTTGTACCTTCAAAACCTTTATCCAGTTTGATGTTTCTCCTTATCAATACGTTCTCGTTTTCTGCAACCACACTTAAGGAGAACTTCCATATCGTCTCCTCATATGTGCTCCCTCATAACTTTCTTTTCTGGCTACTGCCTAGAGCGGTACTCCTAAAAGTGCCAGCCCACAGTAAGAAGCGTGCACCTTGGGCTGGCAAGATGGCTCCTGCTTGTAATCCCAGCACTTTGGGAGGCTGAGGTGGAAGGATTGCTTGAGCTTGAGATTGAAGCCAACCTAGGCAACACAAGGAGACCCTATCTATCTCTACAGATTATTAGAAAAATTAGCCAGGTGTGGTGGTGCACACCTGTGGCCCCAGCTATATAGGAGGCTGAGGTGGGAGGATCACTTGAGTCTGGGAGGTTGAGGCTGCAGTGAGCCATGATCACACCACTGCACTCTAGCCTATACGACAGAATGAGACCCTGTCTTAAAAAAAAAAATAGGGCCAGGTGCAGTGGCTCACGCTTGTATCCCAGCACTTTGAGAGGCCGAGGCAGACATATCACTTGAGGTCAGGAATTCGAGACCAGCCTGACCAACATGACAAAACCCTGTCTCAACTAAAAATACAAAAATCAGCTGGGCATGGTGGTGGGTGCCTGTAGTCCCAGCTACTTGGGAGGCTGAGGCAGGAGAATCACTTGAACCTGGGAGGTAGAGGTTGCAGTGAGCTGACATTGCTCCCCTGCACCCCAGCCTGGGAGACAAAGTGAGACTCTGTCTCAAAAAAAAAAAAAAAAGCTTACATCTTGCACCAGATTATAGATCAACACCATACTACAGTACTTTCCTTCGTCAGGAAAGTCTCACTTTAACAAAGCATGCTTAGTGATCTTGTAGATTTTCATTCTGATTAAAGTTCTTTTTTTTTTTTTTTTTTTTTTTAAACAGAATCTCATACTGTTGCACAGGCTGGAGTGCAGTGGTGCAATCTCACTGCAACCTCGCCTCCCAGGTTCAAGCGATTCTTCTGCCTCAGCCTCCCAAGTAGCTGGGACTACAGGTGCATGCCACCATGCCCGGCTTACTTTTTGTATTTTTAGTAGAGACAGGTTTCCACTGTCTTAGCCAGGATGGTCTCGATCTCCTGACCTTGTGTTCCACTCACCTCGGCCTCCCACACCATGCCCAGCCCAAAGTTCTTTATCTCACTGTGAACCAATCATAAACAGTTCCTGCACTGGCGGCCATTCACAGAGCACACTGGTCTAGAGGCCCGTCCAGAAGCACACCCGAATGGTTAATGTTGCAGTCTGCGCTGTCAAGCATCACCTGTGTTGTTTCCCCCTTCACAGCCCCACTTCCCTCCTGTGCTGCTGAGGCCTGGTGAGGAGTATGACCACACCACCTGGTTCAAGTTTTCTGTGGCTTAAGAAAGTGTGAAGATATGACCTGATCCAGGGCTAGGCTCAGCCGCCCGTCTCCTGTCCAGAAAAAAGGTGAAGATTAAGAAGCTCTCAAAATGATTCTATAGATTAAAATCATACAAATGGTGGCTGTCATAAGAATCAGTCTGGGTACTGATTTCCTTTTCCAGTGACTGGCTCCAGGCCGTGTCTAATGACCAGCTTGATTCTCTGTGCAGTTCAGAGGGCAGTGAACACAACTACCAATGTTGTCATCTAAGCTCTGGTGCTAGCCAGGGACTCCCATGCTGCTGTTGGCTCCATCTCTCCACCCTGCCGCTTTCAGCTTTTCACCCTTCCTTTTCTTTCTTTTTTTTTTTTTAAAGACAGAGTTTCACCATATTGGTCAGGCTGGTCTCAACTTCCTGACCTCAGGTGATCCGCCTGCCTCAGCCTCCCAAATCGCTGGGATTACAGGCGTGAGCCACCGTGCCCGGCCGCCCTTCCTTTTCTTAAAGCTATTCTTGCATTGTTTTTGTTCCTCTTCCTCCGCCTCTAACCATCTTACTCTATTGCAGCACCCCCAAGTTTTCAAATGTCATATTAGCTCAATCTGCAGACTGGCAGATGGACCTGTTTCTATAGAGTAGTAGATGATTGATAAGTCAGAAAACGGAGGCTTAGAGAGGTTGAGGACCAACAAGCTAATACCTAAAAAGTTGGGCCAAGACTTGAATTCAGGTCATGCAAATGCAAGTTCCCCTCCTGGCCTCTACCTCAGTCTACCAGGACATGCCCAGGATCACTGAGGGAGAAAGAGGGGTATGACACCTGCTCTGACTTTTGCAGCCAGCTTTGCTTCTCAGAATCATTTTTATAAGAAACATTAGGTTGTACTGAACTGTCTCATAGCATTACAGTTGGTATGACTTAAAATGCAAAATCAAAATATCCAAAAAGAATCTGTCATTTACGGCCAGGCGTGGTGGCTCACGCCTATAATCCTAGCACTTTGGGAGGCCAAGGCGGGAGGATTGCTTAAGGTCAGGAGTTTGAGAGCCTGGCCAACATGGCGAAACCTCGTCTCTACTGAAAATACAAAAATGCCTATAATCTCAGCTATTCGGGAGGCTGAGACAGGAGAATCCCTTGAATCCAGGAGGTGGAGGATTCAGTGAGCCAAGATCACGCCACTGCACTTCAGCCTGGGCAACGGAGCCAAACTTTGTCTCAAAAAAAAAAAAAAAAAGAAAAAGAAAAAAGACAGCTTTCTCTCTAGTGAGGAGGGGAATTCCAAGAGGAAAAGGCCCGGAAGAGCCTTTGGGTTAACTGAGAAAGCACAGCCAGGCCAAGGCCTGGGAAGAACGGCAAGCAAGCACTGGAGACAGGAGCTGTTTTAGGGTGAGGAGAGAGCCTTGCCTTTCACAGCACAGCGAGGATGACACATTGCACTGGGGACAGAAGTTGTTGTGTTATGTGACAAGGCTGGGGGCTCTTTCTTTCCTGGACAATCAAAGCATCAGTGATGGGTTTTGGTTGGTAATTTTTGAAAAAAAAAGTATGTTATACTAATATATACTGTACTGAATTGAAATAAAACCAAAATCTGCATCTTCAAAAGAATTGTTCCTTTACTCAGCTTTAAATCATCAGGCGTGGACCTTTGGGAAATGGACTGAGAATATGGGTGTGTTCTGAATTCTACCTTACCCTTCAATGGGAGCCCCAGCATTTCCTCACCTAACAGGAAAGCTATCTCACTGGAAGTAGCTTTCCATACTTCCTCTTTCTTTTTTTTTTCTTTTTTTTTTGAGACAGAGTTTCACTCTTGTTAACCAGGCTGGAGTGCAATGGCGCGATCTCGGCTCACCGCAACCTCCGCCTCCTGGGTTCAGGCAATTCTCCTGCCCCAGCCTCCTGACTCGCTGGGATTACAGGCACGCGCCACCATGCCCAGCTAATCTTTTGTATTTTTTTTTTAGTAGAGACGGGGTTTCACCATGTTGACCAGGATGGTCTCGATCTCTTGACCTCGTGATCCACCCGCCTCGGCCTCTCACAGTGCTGGGATTACAGGCTTAAGCCACCGCGCCCGGCCTTCCTCTTTCTTTATAACCGAGAATAAACCAAAGATCTTGTTTATTTTTTAATTGATTTCAGCATGGATTTTCTGAGCCCCTGCTCCGTACACAGCGCTCTGCTGGGTCTGTGAAGGGGTTCAGGTCAGGTGTGATGCTGTGCTCTTCACACACCAGCCCCGAAGGCGCATGCTCAGTTGTCTTCTCTTCTTTCTCTTTTTTTAATCTAATGCCGATTAAACATCTCAGAATCAGTTGTCTTCTTACTGTGAGGTTAACTTTGGTGACTTGAGTAAGATGCTGCCTGCAGGTTTCTCCACTCTTAAAGTTTCCAATGTATTCATTAGCCAAGAGGCCTCAGAGGTGAAATACTAAGCTGACTGCAACCCAGCTACGAATTTGATTCAATTGTTCAATGCAGGGTTCTCATACTATAGGTGCCAGCAATCATTTAGGAAATCCCAGAGAAGAGAATGAATGTGTTCTTATTCACAAGTGTAGGGTTGCCAGTTCCCCCTGCTTTCTGTATCCTGACTAAAAGTCACAGAGTGCCTTGACATGTGTCACCTACCCAGCTGCAGGTATTTTGCAGCAGGCTTGAAGCCAAACTGGGCCTTGAACATTCCCAGGCACTGATAAAGCTGCCTAGGTTGTTGCCTAAAACACTAAAAGAAACTGGCTCTGAGCCAAATTCCTTAAACTGTTATAGAAGCTCCCTCACTGCTGACATACCTGGGCAGAACACCCCTTTTCTCTCTCTACGATTGCTGCAGCACTCTAAGGAAGTTCCCCTAATCAATGCTTTGGACTGATCACCCTGACACTTAAAGCTTCTTTCTTTGGAATCCCAGCCAGCCCTATCTGAAGACAGTTTGCAGCATTCCCTGGTGGGGTCTCCCTTGCTGCTGCTATGGGGGTGATTCCAGCCCTGGATCCACTGAGACAAAACAAACTACAAATTAGTTCTTAATGTAATAGGCACTAGGTTTGAGAATGCATTTATTAGCCAAATACTTCGTTTTCTTCTGTCCAAAAACAGTATTGTTTTTGTAAGAAGGCCAGTCTGCAGTAGTCCAAGTAAGGGCATTCATCGCCTGTGGGACAGCTGAAATAAGTTACTGGCATTTAAATTAATAGTTTACAAAAGAAAGTAAAAAGGTGGCCAGGCCTGGTGTCTTACGCCTGCAATCCCAGCAATTTGGGAGGCCCAGGCAGGGAGACTGCCTGAGGGCAGGGGTTGGAGACCAGTGTGGCCAACGTGGTGAAACCCCATCTCTACAAAAAAAAAAAAAAAATTAGCTGGGCCTGGTGCCGTGCACCTGTAATCCCAGCTACTCGGGAGGCTGAGGCAGGGGAATTGGTTGAACCCGGGAGGTGGAGGTCACAGTGAGCCGAGTTCGTGCCACTGCACTCCAGCCTGGTGAAAAAGCGAGAATCTGTCTCAGAAAAAAACAAAAAGCCTATATTTGTCACGCCGTGCATCTGAGCAAAGCAAAAATTGAGAGAAACTCTTTTTGTGGCAGCAACCAATCTGTCCTTTTTCATGAAACACACAGATGAGAACTTTGCTTGAGAGAAGCCCTTCCCCGTGGTTATGAGACGTACATTGTGGCATGTGACAGCATGTGAGCATAACTGATATTATGATGAAACCGCTGAAGGCCCCAGCAAGAAATAAAATTTACGTCCGGAGCATAAACAAGAGCGGGGACGGGATGAGGCGGCAGTTGATCCCGGGGCGACCAGCGCGGCGAGCGGGGCCAGGCACTGACCCTGAGTGCAGCCTGACCCGCCCTCCTGGCCCACCCGCTGCGCGCCCAGCCATGATCCTGGCGAGCCAGAGCGGGGAGGGAGGCCGGCGCCGGCCAGCTGCTCTTCCCCAACTTCAACCAGGACAACACAGCAGTGAAACGGGGATCAAGAGCAACTGGTCCTGGCCATCGCGCTGTTGTCTGGTCCCTAGCTGTTGGTAGTAAGTCCGGTTATAAATTTTCCTTTCTTCTGTGGATAGGCTGGAACGGATCTATGAATGCACCAACACGGAAGGTGTATGCATTGTAGAGAGATTGTTCTCTAGCAGCTTAGTGGCCATAGTGAGCCTTAAAGCACCAAGGAAGCTAAAGGTGTGCCTCACTTTAAGAAGGGAACTGAGATCTGCAACTACAGCTACTCCAACACGATTCTGGCTGTGAAGCTCAACAGGCAGAGGCTGATAGTATGCCTGGAAGAGTCCCTGTACATCCACAACATTCGGGACATGAAGGTACTGCACAGGATCAGGGAGACGGCTCCAAACCCTGCAGGCCTGTGTGCACTGTCAATCAACAATGACAACTGCTATTTGGCCTACCCAGGAAGCGCAACCATCGGACAGGTGCAGGTCTTCGATACCATTAATTTGAGAGCTGCAAACATGGTTCCGGCTCATGACAGTCCTTTAGCAGCGTTGGCTTTTGATGCTAGTGGCACTAAGCTTGCCACGGCATCGGAGAAGGGGACCGTGATTAGGGTATTTTCCATTCCAGAGGGACAAAAACTCTTTTGAGTTTCGGAGAGAAGAGGTGCGTGAGCATCTGCTCCCTGGCCTTCAGCATGGACAGCATGTTCCTTCCGCCTCCAGCAACACGGAGACCATGCACATCTTCAAACTCGAAACTGTGAAAGAAAAACCCGCAGAGGAGCTCACCACCTGGACTGGGTACTTTGGGAAAGTGCTCATGGCCTCCACCAGCTACCTGCCTTACCAAGTGACAGAAATGTTCAACCAGGGCCGAGCCTTTGCCACAGTCCGCCTGCCATTCTGCAGCCACAAAAACATCCGCTTGCTAGCCACAGTTCAGAAGATCCCACGGTTGCTGGTGGGCGCCTCCGACGGGTATCTGTACATGTACAACCTGGACCCCCAGGAGGGCGGCGAGTGCACCCTGATGAAGCAGCACCGGCTGGATGGCAGTCTGGAGACGGCCAATGAGATCTTGGACTCTGCCTCTCACGACTGCCCCTTAGTCATTCAGGCGTACGGCACAGCTGCAGCAAAAGCCTATGCAGACGACCTGGGTGCCATGGGTGGCACCTACCTGGAGGATGAGGCCAGCGCCCTGCGCCTGGATGAGGACAGCGAGCAGCCCCCCATGATTCTTCGGACTGACTGAACTTGACCTATGACCTCTGACCCGGGGAGCAGAGAACACTGGCTTCACAGAGGACTTTGTGCAATGCTGCTATTAACTTTGACCTGAGTCGAGGGAGAGGATGGCAGCGACTTTATTAAAAAATAAAAATAAAGATTGTAGTGGTAGTCTAACTCCACAATGCTGAGGAAATACATCGTTTTCACTTCAGTGGCTTTTAATCTTGCTTATGAATTTTAGCTTTTTCTCTTTTTGCCAAAATTAACTGTTTGGTGAAGCCCGCAAAACCTCCTTGCTTTGCATGCCTGAATGTGCCAAGCCAGCGTAGAAGAGCTAGAAGCCACTTTCCAACCACCTGCCATTGGGTTTTTCATATCTGTACATATGCCAAGTGCGTCAGAAAGCCGTGGCCGAGCACACTGGGCCTGCTTGTCAAGGCTGGTTCTGCAGTGACAGGTCCAAGGCTGCCCACTGGGTGTGCTGGGCAGACTTTGCGGCCTGGGACACGAGTCCTCTCTCCCTAGGGCCCCCCCTGGACCATTTTCCCTCCATTTTATTTTGTTAATTAAATTCTTTCCAGATTAGATCATCCTGGGATTTTTTCCATGGTGGACTTCTGTTTCTGATCTTGTTTTCCATGTGGATCTCGGAGGAGAGCGAGGTTCTTTCTGATACTAAAAACCTTTCTGTCAGGCAGCAAATGAACTTGAAAGATTGCCTGGACTCCCCGGAGCAAAGGAAAGTGATTTTGTTTGTATAATTAAGTGATCTGTTCTTCTACTAAAAAAATAAAATTTTACAAGGTAAGATGTAATATTAAAATAATTACACAAATATTGCTGTAAAGACTAAGATGTCATGCTGTGGAGGGAGAACTGGAGAGTTACAAAAAGTAGAACATGAAAAAAAATGCAGGACTACCAGCACAGAGCAGGAAGGAAGCCCAGCATGTGTCCTGGTCCCTGGCCAGTTCCCATTTTCACTCTTAACCATTTTAAGCAATTGGATCATCAGTTTGCAAGAGGCGGTTTGGACAGCAGTGCAATCCTTTTCCCATCGGCATTTCCTGAACTCAGTTACCCAGATCATCATTAAAGTCTCAGATGCTTTGGACAGCATTTCCAGCTATAGTCAGGCAAGGACGTCAGTAAATCCTCTCCTTATTATAGTTCAAGCAATTAAAATGCTGAAAAAAATCGACAAAACAGTTTCTTTTTGTTTAGAGATGGGGGTCTTGCTCTGTTGCCCAGGTTGGTCTCGAATTCCTGCCCTTAAGCAATCCCTCCAGCCTCAGCCTCCTAAGTAGCTACAACTATAAGCACACACCACTTCCCAGCTCAAAACAATTTTGGTGCTCTGGAAACAGACATAAAACCTTCCAGTTTGAGATACATTGTTTGAAAAACCACTGAACTTTGGGTAGGAACAGTGGGAGTCTGTAGTGTTCTTGCCTGGGCCGTTCCCATTCCCCTCACTCCTCCAACTCAGTCATGGTGAAGGTACTGCTGACACAAAATGGAACATGAGGAAGAGCAAATGGCTGTGGTTGAAAGAGGGTTCACTCCATTTGGAGGTGTGAGTGGCCGCCATACCCAAAACATCGTCGTTAGAAATAATCCAGTGCAGTGCAGGCAGGGACGGCCTACGGCTCTGCTGGCCTGAGGTTGAAGTTGTAGCTACAGCAAGCAGATATTTGGCTGATCGGAGGCTGGATGCATGTGCAGAGATCAAAGAGGGCTCAACAAAAAGTAAGTCTGGACAGACTTGAAAGCAGCCTGAATATTAAAATTACTCACCTACCTACACACAGATCCATCAGCAGAGTGCAGAAGTGTGACTGGTTGAGGTGTCAGCACAACCTCTCTCCAGAAATTGGCTGCACTAAGCTGTGCAGACACAAGGCAACCCCCTAAAATTTTAAAATAAGCCTAAGAAGCTGGTCATAGTGGTTCATGCCTGTAGTCCCAGCTACTCGGGAGGCTGAGACAGGAGGGCTGCTTGAGCCCAGGAGTTCAAGGCTGTAGTGTGCTATGATCCCACCTGTGAATAGACAACTGCACCCCAGCGTGGACAACACAGGGATACTCTGTCTCTTAAAAGATGAACACAAGAATGTTGAAAAAACAAAACTGGTGATTATAAAAAGGAATGAAGTAGGCTGGCCCCGGTGGTTCACGCCTGTAATCCAGCACTTTGGGAGCCCCAGGCAGGCAGATCACCTGAGGCCAGCAGTTTGAGACCAGCCTGGCCAACATGGCAAAACCATCTCTACAAAAATTAGCCAGGTGTGGTGGTGTACACCTGTAATCCCAGCTAGGTGGGAGGCTGAGGCAGGAGAATCACTTGAACCTGGGAGGCAGGGGTAGAAGTGAGCCGAGACTGTACCACTGCACTCCAGCCTGGGTGACAGAGTAGGACTTTGTCTCTAAATAAATAAATTGAATCAAGTGAAAAGTTTGATGTTGAAAACAGCACAATAATGCATGAAAAGTTAATGAGAGAGGCCAGGCACGATGGCTTACACCTGTAATTCTCAGCACTTTGGGAGGCTGAGGCGCGCAGATCACTTGAGGTCAGTAGTTCAAGACCAGCCTGGCCAACCTGGCGAAACCCCATCTACTAATAATACAAAAATTAGCCAGGCATGGTGGCATTTGCCTGTAATCCCAGCTCCTGGGAAGCTGAGACACAAGAATCACTTGAACCTGGGAGGTTAGAGGTTGCAGTGAGCCAAGATCACACCACTGCATTCCAGCCTAGGCAATAGTGAAATTGTGTCTCAAAAAAAAAAAAAAGAAAGAAAGAAACTTTTTTTTTTTTTTTTGAGACCGAGTTTCGCTCTTGTTACCCAGGCTGGAGTGCAATGGCGCAATCTCAGCCCACCGCAACCTCTGCCTCCTGGGTTCAGGCAATTCTCTTGCCTCAGCCTCCTGAGTCGCTAGGATTACAGGCATGCGCCACCATGCCCAGCTAATTTTTTTGTATTTTTAGTAGAGACGGGGTTTCACCATGTTGACCAGGATGGTCTCGATCTCTTGACCTCGTGATCCACCCGCCTCAGCCTCCCACAGTGCTGGGATTACAGGCTTGAGCCACCGCGCCCGGCCGAAAGAAAGAAACTTAATTAGAGAGAGTCAGAAGTAGATTTGAAACAGCAGAAAAGTGAACTTGAAGCTAGATAAATAGGAATTATTCAATCTGAAAAACGTAAGATTGAAGAAAACTAAACAGAACCTCAGAGACTTGGAGAAAACATCAGGCACATGAGCTATGTGTAATGGGAGTCCAAAGAGAGGGACAGAAAAAATAATGCCAAAAAACTTCCAAATTTGATGAAAACCACTGATCTATAAATCTAAGCTCAACCAACTTCAAGAACAAATACAAAGAGATTCCCATATACACATATCAAACTGTTGACACACATAAACTGCTGAATGTCAAAAGCAAACAAATTTGAAAGCAGCAAGAGAAAAATGACTCCTCACTACAGGGGACCACCAGTACAATTAATGGCTGACTTCTCAACTGGAACAGTGGAGTCCAGAATGCAGTGGAATGACATGGTCAAAGTACTTCAAAACCAGAGGTTAAATTATCACCCAGAATTATCCTTCAAAAGCAAAGGTGAAATAAAGACTAGGGAATTCACTGCTAGCAAGCCTGCCTTGTGAGAAATAATGAAGTCCTTTATGCTGAAATTACACCAGAATCCATGGGAAGAAAGAAAGATCAGAAATAGTAAATACATGATTAATAAGGAAAACGCTGTATTTTTTCATTTATTCTCTTAAAAGACGTAAGATTGGCTGGGCACAGTGGCTCATGCCTGTAATCCCAGCACTTTGGGCGGCCAAGGCAGGTGGATCACGAGGTCAAGAGATGGAGACCACCCTGGCCAACATGGTGAAACCCTGTTTCTACTAAAAATACAAAAATTAGGCTGGGCGCGGTGGCTCACGCCTGTAATCCCAGCACTTTGCGAGACCGAGGTGGCAGATCATGAGGTCAGGAATTTGAGACCAGTCAGACCAACATGATGAAACCCCTTCTCTACTAAAAATATAAAAATCAGTCAGGCATAGTGGCATGCACCTGTAATTCCAGCTACTTAGGAGGCTGGGGCAGGACAATCACTTGAACCCGGGAGGCAGAGGTTGCAGTGAGCCAAAATCGTGCCATTGCACTCCAGCCTAGGCAACAGAGTGAGACTCCGTCTAAAAAAGAAAACAAAAAGATGTACAACTGCAGAAAGCAATAATTATAACACTGTATCATTGAGCTTAGAATACATAAATATAGCATAAAGGAGGGAAGAGGAAAAGGAAATAGCATTGGAGTATAATTTCTGTATTTTATCAGAGTGTTAATCAGAATTAAGATTGTAGATTGTGACAAGATTCAACCACTAATAACTAAAAATCTAGCTTAAAAAAATGAAGAGGAACTAAGATAACACACTTATCTTTAATAAATTTTTTGTACTAAACAAAATATTTAGTACAAAAGGTAGTAAGGGAGGAAGAAAAAAAGACATATAGAAAACCGGCTGGGTGCAGTGGCTCATGCCTGTAATCCTAGCACTTTGGGAGGCAGAAGAGGGCTGATCACCAGGTCAGGAAATCAAGACCATCCTGGCCAACATGGTGAAACCCAGTCTGTACTAAAAAACTTCAAAAATTAGCTGGGTGTGGTGGCATGTGCCTGTAGTCCCAGCTACTCAGGAGGCTGAGGCAGGAGCCCAGGAGGCGGAGGTTGCAGTGAGCTGAGATTGCGCCACTGCACTCCAGCCTGGAGACAGAGCAAGACTCTGTCTCAAAAAAAACCAAATGGCAAATGTAAACCCAACCATGTCAATAATCTATTAACTGTGGATGGTTTAAATACTCTAAAAGTTAAAACAAAATAAATGAATAAATAAATACTCCAAAAGGTGGTTTATCAGAATTAAAAGATAAGATCTAGCCAGGTGCAGTGGCTCACGCCTGTGGTCCCAACAACATGAGAGGCTGAGGCAAGAGGACCGTTTAAGCAGAGTTCAAGGCTACAGTGAGCTACGACTGCATCACTGCACTCCAGCAGCCTGGGCAACAGAGGAAGACCCTGTCTCAAAAAAAGGAAGCAGCAGCAAGATCCAACAACTATATGCTATCTACAGAGCACATATAAGTGTGTCTTAGATTCCAATACACAAATAAATTGAAAGTAAATCAATGGAAAAGATATACCATGCAAATGGTAACCATAGGAAAGCTGGAGTGGCTATATCCATGTAAGACAAAATAGATATTAGGACAATAAATATTGCTAGAGACAAAGATCCTTCATAATGATAAAACACAAGAGAGAACAATTATAATTTTATGTTTGCATCTAATAATAGAGCCTCAGATGCTCTGAAGCAATCATTGTAGTCAGAGGCCATAACTGGAGTTACCCTAATGTTTGGCATAACGCAAGAGCTCTGGTAAATACTTCAAAATTCCTGAACAGAATGTTAACTTTTTTTTAAAGATGAGTATTTCCTTGAGCACAGTGACCTCTACTGGTACTAATATAAATTAAGATGCAGTTTCTGGGGTTTTTTTTCCCCCAGTTTCCTTTCCAACATGGGATCATTTGTTTAGAGACGATGAGAAACCTAGAGGACACATAGTAGAATCCCCCTTTTGATTCACGTGAGTGCTACTACTTCCTTATTATAATAGAATAAACGAATCTTCCCAATAACTAGTGAACAGAGTGCAGAGCAGTGATTTTCAATCCTGGTTGCATATTAGAAGAACCAG